GGCTCCAGGCTTTTTTTTTTTTTTTTTTTTGCAGCGGGACCTCGCCCGGGTCGCTCTCACGGGGGGGTCATTTTTTTTTTTTTTTTTTTTCACCTGGGTCACTGTCACGGGGGTGGGGTGCTGTGGAAGCTTTTTTTTTTTTTTTTTTTCGCTGTCACGGGGGGGTCACTGTGGGGAAGCTGGGGGACCTTTTTTTTTTTTTTTTTTTTGGGGTGGGGTGCTGTGGAAGCTGGGGGACCTCGCCCGGGTCTTTTTTTTTTTTTTTTTTTGCTACCGCAGGAGTCTGTGTGGCGGGAGGTTGTGTTTCCCTTTTTTTTTTTTTTTTTTTTAGGCTCCATCTTCTCTGATTCTTCTCTGCCCTGCAGTGATATTTTTTTTTTTTTTTTTTTAGCCCCGGGGCTCACCTGTACCCTGGCGCGACGGGAGCCTCTTTTTTTTTTTTTTTTTTTGCGAGGAGCCGGCCCCCGGAGGCAGCCCAGAGGACTCAGGCTCAGCCCTGAGTGCCCAGTCCACTGAGACCCTGGAAGGGCCAAGTGGGCGGGCGCCCAAGGCGGGCGGGCGTCAGGAGGAGGCCAGCACCCCCAGACGGGGGCTGGGCGCCCGCCTGCAACAGCTGCTCACCCCTTCCCGCCGCTCCCCTGCCTCCCGCGTTCCCCCGCCTGAGCTGCCCCCTGACCTGCCTCCCCCTGCCCGCCGTAGCCCGATGGACAGCCTCCTGCGCCCCCGGGAGCGGCCTGGATCCACTGCCTCCGAGGTAGCCGGGGAGGGGAGGGTCCATTCACCTTAGCCCTTTTTTTTTTTTTTTTTTTGCCCAGAGAAGGGCCGGCTGATGGTGCTTTCTCCTGCGATGGCAGAGCTCAGCCTCTCTGGGCAGTGAGTGGGACCTCTCCGAGTCTTCCGTCAGCAGCCTTTTTTTTTTTTTTTTTTTTGAGCGCCTCAGTGACACCCCCGGGTCCTTGCAGCCGCCTTCCCTGGAGGTGAGGAGAAGCCCTCCCACACAGTGTGCTTGAACACGTGCGTGCAGACTCCCTTTTTTTTTTTTTTTTTTTGGCGGGGGCTGGGGGCAGTGGAAGGAGCCGGGGGGGGGGGGTTTTTTTTTTTTTTTTTTTGCCTGCAGCTCCTGCCCTCCAGCTGTTCCTTGTGCCGCCTGTTTTTTTTTTTTTTTTTTTGTTCCTTGTGCCGTGCCTGTGACTCGCTGGTGTACGATGAGTTTTTTTTTTTTTTTTTTTCGCCCGATGACTCCAACCTCAACACAGTGTGCCCCTTCTGCTTTTTTTTTTTTTTTTTTTTGCTCAGTGTGCAGACCCTCGATTCCCGACCCAGGTGCCCATTTTTTTTTTTTTTTTTTTGGGGGGGGGGGGGCGGGGAGGCGGAGGTTCGAGGGCTGACCTTTTTTTTTTTTTTTTTTTTGCCCCCAGCCCCCAGCCTGCCCCTGCTGGTGCCAGTAACAGCAAAGATGCTCCTATCCCTGGGGGCCCAGGCCCTGTGCTCAGTGACCGCAGGCTCTGCCTTTTTTTTTTTTTTTTTTTGCTCTGCAATGGGCACACGGGGGTAAGGGCCGGGCCAGCGGTTTTTTTTTTTTTTTTTTTTGCGTGTGTTGCCCAGTGGTGGGGCCTGATGCGCATTGAGGTTTTTTTTTTTTTTTTTTTCTGCTGGACGTGATGGCTCAGTGGGAAGCTCTGAGGCTGGGGCTGGGGTCTGCCCTGTACCGCTGTCCTCCCTCTTTGTGCCTGACAGGCTGCCTCCCGGCGGGTTGAGGGTGGGGCCTGGGCATATCTGAGCCCCCTGGTGCTGCGCAAGGAGCTGGAGTTTTTTTTTTTTTTTTTTTTCAGTGAGGTGCTGGCATTACCTGAGCTGCCTGCTGCCCACCTTTTTTTTTTTTTTTTTTTTCTGTGGTATTTCCAGCGGCTGCGCCTGCCCAGCATTCTGCCATGCCTGGTGCTGGCCTCCTGTGATGGGTCCCCACCCCCCCAGGTCAGTGCCCTCCTGTTTTTTTTTTTTTTTTTTTTCGCCACCTCACCTCTGGGTCTGTCCCCTCAGGCCCCAGAGAGTAGAGCGAGCACAGGCCTGGGAGTCAGTTGCACCTGGTCCGACCCCTGGCCTTTTCACTTTTTTTTTTTTTTTTTTTTTTCTCATCTGTAAAACGGCCTAGTGCCCAGCGCCCAGAGTTTTTTTTTTTTTTTTTTTTTCCTGGTACACAGCCACCACAGTGGCTTCTTGACATCTATCATTCGACCAACATTTATTGGGCACCTTTCGGGCTCCAGGCAGTTTTTAGGCACGAGGGATGTTTTTTTTTTTTTTTTTTTGTGGGTGCTCTCGGAGAGCTTGCACTCATGGGGGATGAGGCTTTCTTTTCCTCTCTCCTTTGGCTATATCCCACAACGTCCCTCTGTTTCTTGGAGCTTCATTTTTTTTTTTTTTTTTTTCTGCCTGCCGTCCCATGAGTCTGCCTCCTTTGTCTTGGCTCCTTTCAGGCCCCACCTCCTTGGCTGATGCCTGACCCGGCATCTGTGCAGGTGCGGCTGCTATGGGACGTCCTGACCCCTGATCCCAGTAGCTGCCCGCCTCTCTACGTGCTCTGGAGGGTTTTTTTTTTTTTTTTTTTTTGGCCTAGGTTGGGAAGGGGTGGGTCCCACGCCCAGAGGGCTTTTTTTTTTTTTTTTTTTGCCTTCCTTTCACCCAGGCCAGATCCCGCAACGGGTGGCATGGCCAGGCCCCATACCCGCGCCCCTCAGCCTGGACCTGCTGGAGGCCGTGTTGCGCCATGTTTTTTTTTTTTTTTTTTTCAAGGCTGTAGGGCTCTTGCTGGAAACTTTAGGGCCGCCTCCCACTGGCCTGCACTTGCAGAGGTATGGTGCTCCCATCTGGGAGGTCCCTGGCCTGTCCCTTTTTTTTTTTTTTTTTTTTCTTAGTCCACCCTCTGCCCCCACTGCAGGGGCATCTATCGTTTTTTTTTTTTTTTTTTTATGGCTGCTCTAGGCAAGGACCGTGTGGACATAGGTAAGGGTTTTTTTTTTTTTTTTTTTGTGGAAGTATCTGGGGTCAGGGGGCTGCAGGGGGCGGGGTATTTTTTTTTTTTTTTTTTTTACCTCCACCCTCTTCCCTAGTGGCCTTCGACAAGAAATACAAGTCTGCCTTTAACAAGCTGGCCAGCAGCATGGGCAAGGAGGAGCTGAGGCAGCGACGGTTTTTTTTTTTTTTTTTTTAGGCCATTGATTGCCGGAAATGTTTTGGAGCACCTCTGGAATTTTTTTTTTTTTTTTTTTTTCCTCTCCATCCTGGGGTGGGGAGGTTGAGGGAGAACGGCTTTTTTTTTTTTTTTTTTTTCCTACTCCTTTCATAGAGGAGTTGGGAACCGGCTGGGAAGCAGGCCCAGCCGTAGGCTCCAAATGTGGGCAGCAAGAGGGACCCACTGTTAACAAAAGTCTTTTTTTTTTTTTTTTTTTCCTGCCCAGTATGTTCACGCTGATGTTGTACGAGGCCTGGCTTTTTTTTTTTTTTTTTTTTTCCTCCCCAAATTATACCAGGAACTCTCCTCCAGGGTACCCACAGATCTGCTCTGCCCTGGTCATTTTCTAAGTTTTTGTTTTAAAAAACAACTGGAAAGTTTTTTTTTTTTTTTTTTTTTGCCCTGAATGGGAGGGAGGGATATCATTCCCCGCCAGTGTTTTTTTTTTTTTTTTTTTACTGCTGAAGCAGCCCAAAGCCCTCCATCATATCTTTCTACTTTTTTTTTTTTTTTTTTTGTTATTTATTTTGGAGCCACAGCCCCCTTGCTTATGAGGTTTTTTTTTTTTTTTTTTTTTAGAAGGGAAACAGGGCACCATGGTTCAGTGGTCTGTAGCTCCTGGAAAGTCAGGAGGGAGCTGGCGGAGCCCCATGCTCCCCTCAGGAAGAACCGGGGCCCCGGCCAGTCCTAACCCTTCCCATCTACTCCACCGTGGGGAATGCTTCACCCACCCAGGATTTTTTTTTTTTTTTTTTTTTTGTTCCTTGCAAAGTTTTGTTGGATGTAAATATAGTAAAATTTTTTTTTTTTTTTTTTTTTCTGTCTCCTGTTCCCTGGATCTGGAATAATGGCAGGGGGTTTTTTTTTTTTTTTTTTTGCTGCACATCCTCCTTTCCACCTTTCCATCCCTTGCAGCCTTTTTTTTTTTTTTTTTTTTCTGACCAGGTCTGGTACTGGTCCCCTGGGGCTCAGGGAGTTTTTTTTTTTTTTTTTTTTTGAATCTGGTGCTGGCTATGGTGGTGCCAGTCTGTGTGGCACTTTTTTTTTTTTTTTTTTTTCACCCCCTTGTCCCTCATTTGTACCCCACACAAAGGCTCCTTTTTTTTTTTTTTTTTTTCTCATCTCTGACTTCTTTCCTCCCCCCCAGCTTTCGCCTCCTTTTTTTTTTTTTTTTTTTACAGAGAGGACAGCCCTCTCCCTAGTAGTTGGTGTTGGCAGCTCTCAAGCATCCCGGGAGCCCTGGCGGCCATCCTAGGCCCCCTCAGTTGCTCTAGCTGCAGGCAGTACTCTTCCAACCAGGCTCTCAGCCTGGGGACAGGACCAGGAAGACAGGGCCAATTTTTTTTTTTTTTTTTTTATGTGGGCAACAGGGAGACAGGCCCACTCAGAATTCTCCCTTTTTTTTTTTTTTTTTTTTACACAGGAAGGGAGCTGCAAAACCAGTCACCAAAGGGAATTTTTTTTTTTTTTTTTTTTTGGAGTGTCAGTGGGGAAATAACTCATATGTGGCTTTAGTGCTTTTTTTTTTTTTTTTTTTGTGGATGAAGCAAAAAGTAGTACTTCTGAATTCTGGAACGTCAAGCCACAGGACCGACCCTTCCCCGTCCTGCGCTGAGTATGGTAGATGCTTTTCTTGTGTCCTAAAAGAGCTGCACAGGAGGGAAGCTGAGGCTTAGGAAATACCCTCTGTCCTGCCTGGGACGAGGAGGCGCCTTCTTCAGAGGGGAAATCCTCACATCAGCCCAGGTTCTGATCGGATTTTTTTTTTTTTTTTTTTCCTCTCCCCATCTCTGCAAGGGAGCAATTGTCTCCCTGACATCACAAGTGTTGTGCAGTATGCCCAGCAGAGTGCTGAACTGCTGGAATTATAGAATTTTATTTTTTTTTTTTTTTTTTTAGAGCATACAATCTTAATGGTCTGGAGCGCCCCTTGATTCATTTTTTTTTTTTTTTTTTTATTACCTCCAGCGTGTACTTCTCACCTTTGGGCCTCCTTGTTTTTTTTTTTTTTTTTTTTGACAGGACTACAGAGTTCTTTAACCACAAGAATATCTGGAATTTTTTTTTTTTTTTTTTTACTAGGGCATCTGACATCTCTGTCCTGTGGCCTAGGGAGCTGGATGAGGGAGGACATGCCTCATCCTGGCCCAGTTTCTCTTCCCAGACTTCAGAGTGTATTTTTTTTTTTTTTTTTTTTAATTCTTTTTTTTTTTTTTTAAAGATTTTATTTATTTATTTTTTTTTTTTTTTTTTTTTTAGAGAGGGAACGCAAGCAGGGGGAGTGGGAGAGGGAGAAGCTTTTTTTTTTTTTTTTTTTGAGCCTGATGCGGGACTCGATCCCAGGACCCCGGGATCATGACCTGAGCCGAAGGCAGATGCTTAACGACTGAGCCACCCAGGCGCCCCATGGGTACGACAAAATTCTAATTAAATCTTGTCTCTGCCCTTACTAATTTTATTTTATCGGCCAAAATACTTTTTTTTTTTTTTTTTTTTTTTCCTTGTGTACCAATTGAGGAGATGGTTTATCAAGATTAATTTTTTTTTTTTTTTTTTTTGCTAAGTACACTCCATCAATGCTAGCTTCAAAATGAAAACTTTTTTTTTTTTTTTTTTTAGAGGGAACCGTCAGGTCCGCTAAGACAGTGGCCTCACACTTTTTTTTTTTTTTTTTTTTTCACTCCAGATTGGAAGTCCCCTCCCCGATCTGACTTTAATTTTTTTTTTTTTTTTTTTTTCAGGCTTCACTAGTATCTTCGTCAGGCTGGCATCTCTAACCACCGTGCTTCCCCTTCTCCTCCCAGCCCTTGAAGAATGGCTCCTCAGGCAGCAGAGAACTTTTTTTTTTTTTTTTTTTCAAAACAGCAGGTTAGGGAAAGAGAGCAATGATTTTTCTGTTTTTTTTTTTTTTTTTTTTCCAGCACATAGAGGGGTGTCTGGTAACACGATGGGCTCTCTTTTTTTTTTTTTTTTTTTTTCAGTGAAAGCATTAAAATGAGAAATGATTTTCAGTGCAGTGCGAGGCAGGTACAAGTAGAATACCAACGGAAGCTGAATTTAGAACTATGGGAGTGTTGGTTTTTTTTTTTTTTTTTTTTATAGTTAACTATTATGACTACTGAGTGCTTACTGTGTCCTTTTTTTTTTTTTTTTTTTTTTAAATGTTACTATTTTATAATCCTCACAATTCCCCTATGATTTTTTTTTTTTTTTTTTTCATTCCCATTTTACAGATAAAGGGACTGGGGCATAGAGAATAGAGGCTAAGTAACTTGCACCCAAATCATACAACCGCTAAGAGAGAGCGCCAAGATGCAATTTTTTTTTTTTTTTTTTTAGAGACCACGTTCTTCACGCGGACACGCTGCGAGAACGAAACAAGGCTCTTCCCCGCTTACAACGACACTGGGGCCGGCCTGTGTGTGTGTTCAGGGTGCATTTTTTTTTTTTTTTTTTTCTCCACCCGCTGCACTGCCACTGCACGGCACGACTTGTAAATTTTTTTTTTTTTTTTTTTCCGTGCTTCTGGAGCCAGGGATTTCTGGGTTCAAAGCACCGTTTTTTTTTTTTTTTTTTTTCCGACCTTTGCAAGTTACTTAACGTTTCTGAGCCTGCTTCTTTTTTTTTTTTTTTTTTTATTTCGGCGGTGCCACTGATCGTGGGTAACTCTGGGCACGTCGTGAGGTCTGTACCACGGGGGTGACAGTGTCCACCGCGAGCGCCGGGCCCTCCCTGACACGCCGGCTCTGCGGGACCGGGTCCCCGCCGCCGGCGTTGGGCTCGGCCGCACCCCGCACCGCGCGCCCGGCCAGACCCCGCCGGCCCCCAGCACCAACGCCGCCGCCCCGGCCGGGGCCGTTTTTTTTTTTTTTTTTTTCCCACGCAGACCAGGAAGCCCGAGGCCTGCGGCGGACGCGGGCAGGCCACGCCCCGCACAGACCGCGAGGCCCGAGCGCCTACGGCCACTGCCATCGTCAGATTCCGGGATTCTGTCGCGATGAACCACCACCCAACGCAGAGCCCAGTGCCGCTCGCCAGTTTTTTTTTTTTTTTTTTTAAGAATGAGAGCGGGCGGAGAGGGAATCCCGGTTTGCGGATTTTTTTTTTTTTTTTTTTTCTGGGGACCAAAACGTCTCTAAGGTAAAGTTGCAGCCCGAATTTTTTTTTTTTTTTTTTTCACTTAATGGGCTGCTGAAGACCCGGATGTGTCTGGGACTGTTTTTTTTTTTTTTTTTTTCGCCCCCGCTAGACCATCCCCCTCCTCCGATTAGGATTGGGTTTTTTTTTTTTTTTTTTTCACTTCTCCAGCCACTCACTCTTCAAGGGTGGGGTGTAGTCCCGGCATCCCGCCTCCTATTGGTGTGGCCGAGAAGAAGAGGGCGGGGAGGCCGGCTGAGGTCGCCCAATGGGCGTCGTGGCGTGTGGGGAAGGCGGAGCCGAGGCGCTTGGCAGCTGCCCTTTTTTTTTTTTTTTTTTTGTGGTGCCGCCGCCGGTGCAGCCGCCGCCGCCGCCGCCGCTTTTTTTTTTTTTTTTTTTTGTGTCTGCTCCGCCCGCCCGCCCCGGTCCGGCCCGCCCCCCTTTTTTTTTTTTTTTTTTTGTCCCGTCGGCGGGGCCCGGAACCCACTGTGCCGTCGCCTCTTTTTTTTTTTTTTTTTTTCGCCGCCTGAGGAGGCGAGCTCGCCGGGAGTTAACACCGCCTTTTTTTTTTTTTTTTTTTTGGCCTAGGCCCGCCTGGCCGCCCGCCCGCCCGGGGGCGGCTTTTTTTTTTTTTTTTTTTGAGCCGGGAGGAGGCGGCGGTGGCGGAGGTGGGGGAAGGGATTTTTTTTTTTTTTTTTTTGGGAAGCGCCCGCGAGCCGACGCCCGCCCGCGCGCCCCCGCTTTTTTTTTTTTTTTTTTTCCCGGCCCCGCGCGCCCCCGCCTCGCGCTCCCCTCACCTCGTTTTTTTTTTTTTTTTTTTCGCGCGCTCCCCGGCCTTTCCCTTCGGCCTCGCGCGCCCCCTTTTTTTTTTTTTTTTTTTCTTCTGCTTTTACTCTTTCTCCCCTCCCGCGCGCCCCGTTTTTTTTTTTTTTTTTTTTTTCACTCCCTGCCTCCCGCCCGCCATGCTCCCCTCGGCTCCTCTTTTTTTTTTTTTTTTTTTTCTCCGCCCCCGGCGGTGCCCTCGGGGATCTGGGGGCCGCTTTTTTTTTTTTTTTTTTTTTCCGCCGGCCGCCGGGACCCGCGGGGGGTCCTTCGGGTGAATTTTTTTTTTTTTTTTTTTTTTTATTTAGAAGGGATCGGGAGCGCAGAACCGTGCCCCTTTTTTTTTTTTTTTTTTTTTCGGAGAAGGGAATGGTCTCCGCCTGGGTGGGTGCTCCTCTTTTTTTTTTTTTTTTTTTTTCTTTCCTCGGCGGGGCTTCTGGGGCGCTCTGGATGTGCCTCCCAGTTCAGTGCCCCGGGGTCGACGCAGCTGGGACTGGCCCTTCCCGGACCAGAGCGGGATTTTTTTTTTTTTTTTTTTCTCTGCTCGCAGTGACGCCGAGGAGCTAGCCACTCCTGCGGGTGCCGTTCGCCGGCCCGGGACCAGCTCTCCCCCCTCGTAAAGGCGTGCTCGCGTCTTCGGACTCTTCCCCCAGCAGACGCGCGATGTTAGCTCCTGGGGCTGGCGCGGAGGTGGAGGCATTGGTGGGTGGGTGGCATGTGCCAGTTAGCCGAGCTAGCCGTCGGCCTTTTCTTCTGCTGTTTTTTTTTTTTTTTTTTTGCCTCCGCAGAACGAGTTTTCTCATTTCCGATAAATGATTATTTTTTTTTTTTTTTTTTTCGTGTGAGAGAGCTGGGAGACGCTTACTATGTTTCAGCAAATTTTTTTTTTTTTTTTTTTCAGGCCAGACTGCAACAGAGATTCGGACTGGCAGCAGCTGGAGTAGAGGCAGGTCTCACAGATCCCTGTTGAAGAGCTGATGCTTTTGAGTTTTTGAAACATTTTTTTTTTTTTTTTTTTAGTTTTTGGATAGATAGCGCGTGCATGTAATTCAAAGTGAAATCTTCCCTCTCACTTCTCCGGTCGTCTAGCCCCACTCCCCGTTCACTGATTTCTGATTGTTTTCTGGCAGCAGCGTGCCTATATGTTGGAGATTAAGCAAACTTTTGCTTTTTCTTTGATGCACTGACCTAAACTCTTCCTTGAGGTCTGACTGATATTTTTAGTGTCAGAGTGATCTTTTTTTTTTTTTTTTTTTTTGCAACATTTCTATCTGTGCTTGATTGGTAAGGAGGCTACTTTTTTTTTTTTTTTTTTTTTTGCTATGGAGGGCCTCGATATATTTTAAAGGCAGGCCCGCGTTTTTTTTTTTTTTTTTTTTTTTTTGTAACTGATACCTAGTTTCTCTTTGGGGATGGACTTTTTTTTTTTTTTTTTTTTCTTGGGCTTTTTAAACAAGGTAGGTTGTATGAATAATGAGTTTTTTTTTTTTTTTTTTTTGTAGTGCTGTCTTCCATTTTTAGAGGAGTATAATTTTTTAGTTTTTTTTTTTTTTTTTTTCTCATGGTAAGGAATGGAGCAGATAAATATTCATCAGTAGGTTTTTTTTTTTTTTTTTTTTAGGCTGAGTGACCCAGTTTGAGAAGAGGTGAGGCTTATGGACTTTTGTCCTGCTTACTTAGAGAACACTTTCGATGAAGTGAGAGGAATTTGTAGCTGACAGCAGCATCCATCTTTATGGCACTGTGGTTTGCCTCCCCTCTGTGTGATGTCTGTTAACTTCCTGTTTAGAGGCAGTCCGAAAAGGGTCTGAATAGAGGCTGCACTCAAATACTTGTCTATTTTTTTTTTTTTTTTTTTTCCCTGATCAGCCCTTCAGGTCTGAGTTCTGGCAGTAACTTCTACTGCTGTGTTTAGCATAAGGCCATGGGTGTTGGGAGGGAAGATGTGAAAATTTTTTTTTTTTTTTTTTTTTTTTTTAGTATATTCAAAAGCCTGTGTGCTGCCTCCTTTCTGCCTTTTTTTTTTTTTTTTTTTTTTGTTTCCAATTCCCCCCCCCCAACACACACACCTTTTTTTTTTTTTTTTTTTTTTTTTTTTGGCCTGGCCAGACCTTCAGGTTGGATTTTGGTTACAAAACAGCAGAGTGGGGGTGGGAGGAGGGTGT